ATGAATGTTTTAGAAAGAATTTGTTTTATTAAAATAAGAAAATATAAATGAAATAAGAAATAATAATATAATAATGGAGAAAAAAAATATTCTTTTTCGATGTAAAATTTAGTACAGTTAATTAAAATTGATTTCACCAAAAATAGTACTGATACTAAATTTGATATAAAATTTAGATTGGAGATGCTCTTTAACAAAAAAAAAATGCATTCATTAATTTTATGTAAATTGATAATACTCCATAATGAAGGGAAAAAAAATAAATAAAAGAGGAATAGGATTGCAGAATGTGTAATTCCCCAAGTGTTGTAGGCTCACTTTTTTAGGGTTTTGAGTGGCTCAATGCATCTCAGTAAAAAAGGCATAAAAGCCACCTTTGCAGTGCTAATATGTAGGTCACAGATAACTATGTACTACCCTACCCAAGGTAAAATAAGAAACAACATATACCTCAAAATTAACCAAAAATGAAACAAAAATGTAAAACAGCATAGGTAAAATATTTTTGGCTGAAGTCATTCATGATCTGTTAAAGTTGTCTGCATAATTCACTTAAATACTTTAATTAAGGTTAGTACCTATTAGACACTTTAATATTAACAAATATATATCTATTAGACACAAAATGACAATCAATACATAAAATCCTGTGCGTGTAACTCACACTCCGTAGCTTAAAATAGTTACGAATAAAGTTATGACACTTGGCCATGGCCTATTGCCCAATCTAACTATAAAAAATTAAAAACAAGGATTGTTTTCAACCCTACATAATTCAACCCCACCTACTAAAACTTTTGCCCGTTCTTCTTCTTCCTTAGGCACTCGTCGTTCTCGACTCCGTTGGCAGATTACTTTTTGTTTTTCTTCTTATTATTCCTATAAATTATGAAAATTAAATCTATTCATGAATAATCCGTAGCTTAGCAAAATAATTTTTGAGATGCCTGTGAAAAATAAATCAATGTGAATCATTTTAAAATTAGCGGCGATAAGAAATCGAGAATACTCAAATTAATTCTATGATTTTAAGATATCATTGTCAATAAGCTTAATTAACTTATATTTTAATTTATGTGGTGATGTCGGTTCAAAGTCGCCAGTAATATAGATGAATAGAGTCCGACTAACTTTCTTAACTTCAATGAAAATCATCTTTCTTATTGCAAAATCAAATTAATTAGTAGATTCAGATTATATAAAGAATGAAAATAAATGAAATAACAAAGTAAAAAAAAACAAAAAAACAGAGAGCATGGACGAAGAAGACGATGGCTGAAAACGGGGGTGGGGTTGATTTCTTGGGTTTACCAAAAAAATTAATTTTAAATAAAAAAATTATTTTAATTATTTTAATGCCAAATGTCAATAAAACAAATAAAAGGTACAAGTTCTTAGAAAATAAATAAAAATAAAATGATATTTGGAACATGTTCACGCGCCTATTGTCAAGTAAGGTACACTTAAATTGTCACATCAGTGTTTTGTGTTTAATAGGAACTCATTTTGTTCCTAATTACTTGTCCATTTTTCATTTTATAGTTATTCCTAATTACTTGTCTATTTTGACAAATCAAGAAAGGACAATTTTTTTTTTTACCTATTAGACCCTCAATTAAATGATTAATTACTTTGAAAAATGCAGAACTTTTCATCCACTTTATAATTAATAGGAGTAAAATGGTAACTCACTAGGTCATTAATTAATTTCTTAATATGTGTGTCAATTCAAAAGTGGACAAGTAATTAAGAACAGAGAGAATATATGTTTTGAACAATTTAAGTATTTAATAGGTACAAGTCTTAGTTGAGGTGTCTAAGGAAATTATGCGGACAACTTTAAGGAGTCATCGATGACTTTAGGGAAAAATTATCTAGGACTATAAGCTACTATCTGATAAAATTAGGGAAAAACAAATTTTACTTTGTGGAGAAGTGTAGAAACACTCTCAAATTTAATGTGAATTATTAGTTTTATTTTCAAATTATTGATAGTTTTAAAATATTCATTTACTTGATTAATTATATTTAAATACACCTCTAATCTTGTCACGTGGATAAAATACACTCTTAAATTTTTGCCAAATTTAGGGATGTCTTTAACATTTCTCTCGACGTTTTATTAAAAGTCTCATGCTTCTATAAAAGTTTGAAACCACTTGTTATTTCATGTGGAAGATCGAGAGTGTATCTCAATTTAGCTAGTCAAGTAGATGAGTGTTTTTAAGGTTGTCTATAGTTCAAAGACGAAACTAATAATTTGCATAAAGTTCAAAGGTGGTTTTAATACTTCTCTCTATTATTTTGTGTACTTATTCAATACTAGAATAGAATGAGAAAAAAGAAGAAGCAATAATACCTTTTTTATTAATAAAAATAGTAATCTATTTTTAATATAGGAATCACTAAAATGAAATCTAGCTTGAGGTAAGTGTCTTACATAAATTTTACACATAATTTGTTTAGAGAAAGGAAAAATAATTTTCTTCAAAATGGTAAGCACATTTTTTGTCTAGAAACTTAAATAAAAGTTCACCTAATTGAGCTAAAAAAAAAAGGAAAAGATATTGTCCAAGGTGAGTGACAAAATGTAAAGAACACTAATATCATCAAAATTTCAATTTACTTTCAACAAAAAAATGTTTTTTATCATAAAAAAGCATGTCATTCACCTACTAATTAAATAAAATTTATGTAGTCCAAATTCCCAACTCCAGTCATATAAACAACAGCTAATAAATAGCCATAATATTATTCTATTTTATGTAAATGCAATGACTTAACTAGCCATTAAATACCAAATAAAATAGAGAAGTACATACCAAATAAATGTCAACAAAATGGTAAATAATGTAAAGAGAAACAATAACAAGATGTCTTACATGAATTTTACACATAATTTGTTTAGGTAAACGATTTTTTATTTTTTTTTTAAAAACGGAAAGCACATTTTTTGTCTAGAAACTTAAATAAAAGTTCACCTAATTGAGCCAAGGAAAAATCCTTTTGCCCAGAAAATTTGGTTAAAATTTGGCTAGAATGGTAAAATAATATATATTTCACATTATGTTATTTTACCTTTTTGAACATTTTTACTCTTTTAACTTTAATACATTTTAATTAAAAAATAGAAAAAAATATCAATTTATTTTAAAATAAAAAGAATATTATAGACTTTAAATTTCTGGCCAAATTTTGACCAAATTTTCTGACCATTTAGCATTATCCTTGAGCTAAAAAAAAGGATAAAATATTGTCCAAAGTGAGTGACAAAATGTAAAGAGCACTAATATCATCAAAATTTCAATTTACTTTCAATAAAAACTGATTTAACTAGCCATTAAATATCAAATAAAATAGAGAAGTGCATACCAAATAAATGTCAACAAAATGGTAAATAATGCAAAGAGTAAAACAATAACAACAATATATCTAAAATAATTCCACAAAGTAAGATTTGAAAAAATTAAATACACACAAACTTTATGACTATCCTGAAAACAGAGACATTGTTTTCAATAGATTCTCGATTCAAAAAATAAATAAATTCAAAGTAGGTAAAGAGTACAACAACAATAAATCCAGAGTAAGTAGTCCTACAAAACAAAGTTCGACATATTCAAGCATACGTAGATTTTACCACTATCTTAAAGATAGAAGACTGTTCTCAATAGACACTCAATTCAAAAAATAAATAAATCCAAAGTAGGTAAAAAATACAACAATATGCCCAAAATACTTAATCCCACACAACAAAGTTTGATAAATTAAAGTATATAGAGACTTTACTACTATCTTAAAGATAAAAAAAACTATTCTCAATAGATACTCTATTCGAAAAATAAGTAGATCCAAACTAGATAAAAAGTACAACAACAAATGTACTCCCACAAAACAGAGTTTGAGAGATTAAAGCATACATAGACTTTACTATTATCTTAAAAATAAATAAATTATTTTCAATAAATACTCTATTCGTAAAATAAATAAATCCAAAATAGGTAAAGAGAGTAAAACAACAGTTATGAAATACAATTGATATTTGAGTTTTGAGGCAAGTGGGACAAAAGAGCACTTAAATCAAAGTGAAGGAAAAAGAGTTGAAAATGTAGACAAAAACCGAAAAATGCGCAAATATGATTAATGGTGGAAGAAATATTGTCACAAAAAGAAGCAAAATATAATTTTAAATGATGGCTAGTTCATGTATCAAAGAAAAAAGCATCACATCACAAACGAAAGTCTAATCCAAAAAATATAAAATTTGAAAGTTTATGTAAATAACAACAAAAAAAATCAAATTATAGACGCAAGAAACAGTAAAGTAGAGAACTAATTATTGTCAAAAAAAAAAAACAAAAACTAGAGCATTACATTAAGACGTTTATTAATTAGGCAGAAACACAATTTACAATTATATTAAATAAAAAAGTTAAAGACATTGAACATGATTTTGGTTTACCTCAACAGTAAACTATAAAGAAATAATGACACATAATGATCAATCAATACCACACTAAAATGGTAAAAAAATAAAGTAATACATATATTCGGTTTGATATTATTAATCTGTTAGTGTATCATAGTGTTTCGAATTTATGCGTATTACTTAATACACTATGTTCAATATTATAACATGACCATAACATAACAGATCAAATAAGTTACAAAAATAATGTCAACTTATGACCAATAACAACACTACTATTTTTATACGCTCTGCGAAACGATACAAGAGTTGATACCAAGAGCACACAGCATGACAGAGTTGTAAAACGTCAGCAGGTAAGCAAAGTACAATAATTCATGAATTCCAAAATTTTCCATAAAAGGGAAGGAAAATACAACTTATACTTCTTTCAAAAGCTCAACACATAATTGAAAACTCAAAAGAGAAGAAGTTAACATGTAATAAAAATAATGGTAAAAGATTATATCAATCCAATATCATTTTATATAATACGATGAAAGATTAATTAAGTTACAAATAGTACTCATAATCAATTTATTTGGTTACCATAATTCGATCCTCCACCAAGCAATCCTCCACTAGTAGAAGCAGCATAAAGATGTGAATTATGTTCATTGGTAGCAACAGCACCCAAATGTAAATCAGATAAATTTGGAAAATTATTATTATTATTATTATTATTATTATTATCTTTTGGTTCATCAAGACCTTGATCATATAAGAAACCTTTGAAAAGATGTCCACCAATTTTGACAACAGCTTGATATGCATATTCGTCTTCACCTTCATCTACTGAAGTCACTCTTACACACTTGAATACAGCTGGTGCCCTCACTTGTCCTGGCAATGACCCTTTAAAACTTGCATCTATAATAATGTAAGTCAACAATACAACATGCTATTGTATAAATTCTAAAAAAATATTGTTTACAAATAATACACTCATGTATTCATATACAAGAGTGTTGAGTCAACAACACAACATGCTATCGCATAAATTCTAAAAAAATATTGTTTACAAATAATACACTCTTGTATTCATACACTAATACATGCATTAAAACTCTTAGCATTACTGACATCCATGTCTTAGTTATATGTAACTTAAAAGTGTATATCTAATGGGTTGAAAAAGTATACCAAAGAAATACTATTATGCACGTATTATTTTTTCTAATGTACTCTACTAAACGATCCCACCAAAGTTCGATAAGTTAACATGAAGTGAGTGATACAATCCTAGAGAAGAAAAGATGCAAGTGCATATAAGTAGTTAAATTAAAGTCCAGCCAAAATTGTTTGAATGTTAAAGATATTGTGAGATATGAGGGGATGAAGAACATAATGTGTTATAATACTTACTGTAACAGTACTACAAAAAATTATCTTCAAAATTTTAGGTTGCTAGCTGTGGGGTGAAGATAAAGATTATATATGACACCATTCACTAAGAGATGACATTCCACACGTAAACAATAATGTGTACAACTAATATTTTTTAAAATCCTCAAAATAATACAAACCATGATTAGGGGACATTAAAGCATCATTTCATAGCTAGCTAATAAAGATACAACTTACTCCCTCCGGTCCATTTTAATTGTCATATACACTAAAAATACTCATTCTAGAATAGTTCTCAATTTAAACCATCAAAAAAGAATTAATTATTATATTTCAACTCTAGCTTTAGAGTTAAGTGTTAACTATTCTAGAATTAACACACATAAATAAATAAAGACTAATGAATCAATAAGAAATATACTAGTCACACTACCCCCTCCTAATTACTTTTCTTAAAGGTTGTGCAAATAAACGAAGGGAGTATTTATGTACAACTTTGCTAGCTAGTAAATAAGTTTAAGTACATGTCATTTAGAAACTAACATAACAACCTCATGAGAATAAGTATTATCTTATGCGCGATAGAAAATACATGTTATTAATATACACATAATTCTAATCAGCTACCAAACGACCCCAACACATTAAAACCATCACACTTTCAAACCCAAACCTCTAACAAAATGGTATGATCATGGCAAATACTAAACATTCTTGATGAGTACTAGAACTAGTAATTAAGTAAAAACATGTCAAAATGAAAATAGGTACCTTGATGACTAGAGCTAGTGTCAAAACTTCTTGGAGGAGTATTATTTGAAGTAGAAGTATGTGAAGCTGTTGTAGTTGTCTGAGAATTGACAAGTCTAGGTTTCTTAGCACTTGAAGTTGATTGTGAAGAAGATCCAGCTGCTACAACATTCACACTTGTTGTTGTTGCACCCCCCATTAGTTGTCTCTCACGCCTTCTTGAAGCTGGTACCCAAGTACTCTTTACATGTGTGTTACAATCATAACCTCTACTCTTACAACAAGTTCTACATCTTCTATGTGTACAATCTTTTTTTGCTTGGTTACCACAATCTTGACAAGTTGTTGTTGAAATTGACCCCCCACCCCCACCACCAAGTATAATATTGTTACTACTAGTACTATTTTTAGTATAATTAGTAGTAGAATTTTGTTGGTGTTGATTTGAGAAGAATTGAAACCCACTAGTACCATCATTATTTCCACCTCTATTATTTCTAACCAAATCTTGATCATCAAATGTAACCATATTTGTTAAAGGAGTAGCTGTGAGGAGTGGGATAACACCAACCCCAACCCCAAGAGATGTGTTTGTAGTACATGTATTAGAAAGATTGGAGTTATTATTACCATGTGGATCAAAATTGATTGTGTTTTCATGGTGTTGGTGATGATGTTGAAATGATGCTGGATGTACAACAAACATACCCATTTCTGTAGGTTGGAGGCCGTAGTTGATCTGCATCTGTCTAGATGATGCAGACCACATACCACTATGGCCTCCAACTACACCTCCGGCGGTGGTGGTGGTACCGGTACCACCACCACCGCTACCACCAGCAACGTTGAAACCTAAAGAGAGGTCCCCAATAGCAGCAGCTGATGTATTAGAAGAATTAGCTACCCAGTCTGCAAAAGCCCCAGAATCTGAACCCTGCAACAATCTCCTAGCAGTAGCCACAGCTGCAGACTCTTAGAGAAAGATTTCTCCCACTAGAAAAAAGTTTCTTCAATGAACAAATCTCGAAGAAACACTTATTTATTTGTTTTTTTTATCTAGAGATATGGAAAAAAAAAAAACAAAGTGGGGTCTTGTTCTGAAATTCTTTTTCAGAAGAAGATCTATAGAAAAATTGTGTGACTTTAGGTCTATATTGCTCTAATTACTGACTGGTTAAACAGTTGGCAGAACAGCTACTGAGTCTTCTTTCTCTCTTCTTCTTCTTGCTGCTTCTGAGTTTCTTACTGATACTATACTAATACTTCTTTCTTATACACAGACTCTGCCACATTAACTTCTTTTTTTTTCTTGTGAAAAAACAAAAGGTTTTTCTTTTTTTTCTTCAAAGAGAGGGACTTGTAAGCTAAAAATAAGCAAAAAAGGCAGCTTCAATAACGACCTTTCCTCAGTTGGGCACTTACTTCTTCTTCTCCTTCATTTCTTGCACTATGCTATAATCAGTTTTTTTTTTGCTCCTCTCATTTTTCCAAAGGATTCTTTCTCTTTTATATATTAAAAAAAAAAACTATATACTTCTATATAGGAAAATAAACTGATATTATTGGAGAGAGAATAGTTGAGGAGAAAAAGGGTAGGGTGGGGTGGGGTGGGATTTGAAAGGAGGGGAGAGGGAGCATTTGTGTATTGTAGTAATTGCATCATTATCTCAAAGGGGTCTAAAAAGAGTCACATGACTAGCTTTCTTTTCTTCCCTAAGTTGAATTGCATGTTACAACACTCAACCTACAATTTTTGTAGCACATGTAAACTATATTGAATTCATCCAATACATACAGTTTGGCACAATATTTTTTAGTCAATTTTTATATTTATAACAAAATTAGATAATTTTGTTTTTGATTAATATTGAACCATCTCATTTAAAAAAGATTATAACAATGATATATCTTTAGTTACTTAATTATATCAACGTAGTTTGATACTCTTTATGAATCAAACGATAATGAGATTTAAATTTAGCAGATTTATCTGCTCTATTATCGTGATGAAGTAACTATTTCATCTAAAGTATTAGAGTATTATTTTTTGGATCCTCAACATTTGTAATGTTTAAATCATGTATTCCAACCTCAAAACTAGCCAAAATAATATCTACCATGATAATCTTAAGATATTTTTGGTTCAATTCTTGCTTGTTTCAATGAGACAAATATGGGGAAAATGTGGAGGAATTAGGAAGCATGGAAAGAAAATAGGATGGTAGGGCATGAAATAAGAGTACATAAAGGGGAGGGTACTTTGGCCTTTTTCAACCTGCATAGAATCTTTATTCTATCTTTTATCTCTATGTTTTATTCACTTCATATTCTTTTGCTTGTTATTACTTCATAAAGTCTAAAGAAACCCTTGGAATAATCCAAGGAACAGTTTGAACAAAAAAGAGAGAAGAATCAGACCACTCTTTTACTTTTTCTTACCCTTTTTGTGGTGTCATATTTAATGGTAAATTAATTAATTTAATAATAACTTGCCTATAGTTTTTAATTGTAAAAAGGAAACTTTAAAAGATCCTAAACATATTTTTCCAACTTCAAAATATTTCAAGTTTTGAAATAATGGGTCAATTTAATTATATTTTTTTTATTAAAAAAAATCTAAATATTATTCATGGCCAAACTGATATATACATGATACTAAGCTTAACTTTCATTAAGCTATATTTCGGATCCTGAATTATTTTGTGATTATAAAAGAAGATTATCTATGACTATAAGGAGTCTTTTGGTGAATACAAGTTATGATGGATTAATTATGATAGAATAAGTTATGTTATGGTTAGTTATGATGGGATACATTATGTTGAGATTATTTCTTATTGAGTGTTTGATTTGTTGCATTCAAAATAATACACATTGCATAAATTTTAAGAATAAATTATTTACTTACAAAAACATATATCCTTCACGAATGTGAAAAGTAATATATAAAAAAGGTTTAAAGGGATATCTTTGTCATTTACATATTTTATCCCGAAGTTATTCCAAAATTATTATATCACCCAAGGGGAGAGATAAGTTATCCCAGACCTGTCAATCAAACAACAAATTAAGTGGTACTATAATCTAATCTCAAGACTATTTGGTGTTATTCTTCACACCAAACAACCCCTAAGTGACGGGAAAATATAAAGCTCCAAGTCAATACATATTCAATGGAAGTCATTAATATTATTTATAATGGATATGAAACAAACATTTATATTATATCTGAATGCAGGAAGTTGCTCCAATAGATAGGGAACCCAATGATCAGTCATAGCCTAAGAAATCAGAACAAGGTTGCCGATATGCTAGCTTAAGGAGGGTACAAGACTAAAGCAGGATGTAGATTTTGTGGAATGGTCAATTCCCCAGTGTTTGTTTTGAAGGTTTTTGAAGCAGACATGGATGAAACTAATTTTGTTAGGCATACAATGTCTTCTCTAGTATCAGATAGTCACTAGCGGATTCAGAATTTTAAGGTTATGAACGCTTCAAGAAGGAATGATCTTTAAAAAATTTTAAAATGTCATAATGGGAATCAACCCGGACACAACAAATGCAATATACAACTTTGAGCACCCACAAATGACTACTACACCAATAAACTATTTTGGTTCAAATTTCTATATAAATAAATCAATACGAGATTAATGAGTGCTCGAACACCCGCAAACTTTAGTGTGGATCCGCCCCTGGAGATAGTACTCATTTTGTTGCTAATGTAATATGCAACCCAAGTGTTAGTAATATTTCAGGCCACTACTCTTATATGGATGCATATTAAATATAAATAAAATTTCTTTTTTAACCAAAAAAAACGTAACAGAAACTAAGTTTTATAAAAACTAAAATATAGTAATATATTATTCTCTATTGAGTAAACTATTAAAAACACACCTAATCTATCTCTTCTTTTTTTTTTGTGTATTTCATGCCTAAACTATTGGTAATATGAATTTCATACTTAGATTATCACTCATAATTTGGAAAACACATCTCAGCTAATATGTGTTGGTGTGTGTACTACACTCTTTATTTTAAAAATCTTGTCACATGATATTTCACATAGACAAAAAATTTCACCTTAGCAAACATTTGGCAAAGGATAACTTCAAATTCAAATAATTATATCTCATATCTCGAGCTTACAAATTAAACTAATTAAAAAAACTGTTATATTTAGTATGCAAGTAGAAAATATTTTTTAATTTTTTTATATATATAACCCAAAACAAAAAAATGTAAAAAAAAAAATGAAAAAAAAATCTTTAATATTTTTTATGAGAGGGGAAGGGGAGATGGGGGTGGGTGGTTCGAGGGCGAGGGGGAGGGGGTAAGAATTGTTTTAAAAAAATTATAAAAGAAATTAAAAAAGAATTGATTTTTTGGGGGGCGAGGGCCAAGGGGTACATGAGGGAGGGAGTGGTGGTAGAGTGAGGTAAGAAAAATATTTTAAACATTAATTTTAAAAAGGTGAAATGGTCTGATAGACCCTGGTATTTGTATGAGTTTGTATTGTAGATCATTCTACTTAATTCTTTGACAACTGAACTCATTGAAATTTAATATTTTAAACCCCTTTTTTGACCTGTCATCCTATGTGACATTTTATTTTCTACGTGGCAGTTGAAAATGACGTGGAATTTGATATGTAATGGTTGTATTACACACCACTGATTAGAGGAGAAAAAGGTTTAAATTACTAAGTTTTAATAGATTCAGGAGTTCAGTTGGGAAAGGGTTAAATACAAGGGTTTAGAGTACAAACTCATACAAGTACAAGGGTTCATTTGAGTTTTAGTATTGTCGTTTGGTTTGACTAATGCCCCGGTGGCGTTCATGTACTTGATGAATAGGGTCTTTAAATAATATCTTGACATGTTTGTGATTGAGTTCATCGATGATATTTTGATTTACTATGATAGTGAGGATGAGCATGTTGAGCATTTGAGGATTGTGTTGCAAATTATGAAGGATCGTGAATTGTGTGTTAAGTTTAGCAAGTGTTAGTTTTGGTTGAGAGTTGTTGTTTTACTTGGCCAAATTATATTCAAGTTGATCCTAAGAAGACCGAGGCGGGTAAGAATTGGCCTAGATCTTTGTCCTCTTCGGATATATGAAGTTTCTTGGTATTGTTTGGTTACTATAGTAGGTTTGTGGAAGGATTTTCCTCTATTGTTTTCCCATAGATGATGTTGACCCAAAAGAAGGTGAAATTACAATGGTTAGAAGCTTGTGAGAAAAGTTTTCAAGAGTTGAAGGATATACTCACTTAAATCCCTATATTGACATTACCAGAAGGATCGGATAGTTTTGTGGTCTATTGTGATGATTCTCGGATTGGTCTTGGTTGTGTTTTGGTGCAACATGGTAAAGTCATCGTGTATGCTTCAAGGCAATTGAAGGTACATAACAACAATTATTTAACTCATGATTTTGGAGTTAGCGACGATGGTTTTTTTCTTAAAGATTTGAAGGTATTACCTATATGGTGTTCATGTGGATGTGTTTACCGATCACAAGAGCTTGAAGTATGTGCTCTAAAAAAGACTTGAATATTCTCCAAAAGAGATGACTTGAGTTACTGAAAAATTATGATATGAGTGTTCTTCATCATTTGGGTAAAGTGAACGTAGTGGCAAATACTCTTAGTTGACTATCGATGGGAAGCGTTGCTTAAGTTGAGGATGGTAAGAAAGAGCTAGTTCGTGATGTTCATAAATTGGCACGATTGGGTATTCACTTAGTTGATTCCAATGAGGGTGG